TAACCCGTTGTGTCAGGTTGTGCCAAGTACGGCGAATCTAACCAATGGGGTTTGGGGGCGGTGTTAAGATAGCATATCAGGTCAGTCAATAGTTCTATTCTTCTTCTCTCCCTCGCCATCGATTTGGGCAGGTCACGAAAAAAAAATCTTACCCGCGTCCTTCCCCTTCACCTACCAACGGGCTGATATTCCTGTGTAATTTAATTTAATTTTATTCTTAATGTAATAGTTTTAGTAATGATTAGTAATGTGGCGGATTTTTGTCGCCCCGTTTGTAATCAGTAATTTAATAATTTTTACATGTTCTGCTGTGTTATGATGCTGTTACATTTGATTTTATTAAACCTGCCACAGTCGTGGCCACATTGACCCAACACAGGTGTTTTTTGTTGTTGTTGTTTTTTTTTGTTGTTGTTAATTTCGCATTATCGTCGAGTAACCCAGAATTCAAGCGGCGCTCGCGTTAAGAGTTGACCTTATTTTGGTAACGCACATGCCTTGATATAAATTTTATTTGCAGATCAACTCTACATAGATTTCATAATGATGATGTGAGTGGAATTAGTTCACCTGATTACAGACCCAGCAAAATGCAATAAAAAGAACTCTTCCGTCGATAAAACTAGTATTTTATCTTAATGATCTCGATAGCTTGTAGCTTGCCATGTTCCCTTTACGATTTGACTGATTGACGTCCTCTAAAAAATGACCATCTGCTTGATTTTAAGTGTTTGGAGAAGACTCATCTACGAGCCACCAGCTAAAGTGATTCCAGGGAAAGAGAGATTACTGGTAAAAATGCCAATTCTCACTGATTAAAATTTCGTTTTTTCTTTGTTTGTTTGTTTTTTTTTTTAATAACTTCTTAAAGGCCCTGGCGAGAAAAACAAAAACAAAAAAAACAAACAACAACAAAAAAAGGTGTTTGTCACACATTAACGCAGGTGGATCAGCGTGAAAAAAAAGGCTCAAGAAATGTATTCACGAGGAGTCACGGGGATGCTTTGCAAAGTTGATGTAAAACTCTTTTTAGAACACGCGTGAAACACGCGTAAAAATGCGAAAATCGGAAAAAAAAGGCGTAGAAATGTTACTATTTAGAAAGTCTCAAACAGTCTACGGCGAGTGAAAAATGAAGACAGGTTAACGTGCGTGGATCCTCTTTCCTCGGCGGCAGAAAGGTCCAAACGTCCGGGGCACCTTACCTATTGGAACAGAAGCATAGAAATAGAAAAGTATGCAATTATTTTTTCATGGTCAACATGACTAGCGGCATGGATCGCGGGCGCGTTCGCCCTAGGACGACGACGTTGCGCAGCAGTAGAGACTTGACGCGTATACGAGGGCGACGACGCGGACGACGCCAAGTAAATGTGTTTGTATTTTACTTTGGTGTGTTTGTATTTTACTTTTTCATTTATTTAGATCTATTCGGTGTGTTTGTAAGCATTAAAACTTGCGCCTCCTGAATAAGTTACGAATGTGGTCAGTTCTAAATAGAAATACAAAAAATTAGCCGTTGTGGTTCACGTTTTCCAGACAACGCAGAATTTGGTCAGTTCTCGTTGTTGTTTTGCAGAGGACAGCAAAGAAATGTACCAAGAATTGCAATGCACGTGCATAACCATTGTTTAGCTCATTAAACCTTTTGCTTGGTGACGTTCTCGTTGCCGTTGCCGCCATGTTTTGCGTAAGGTCTCTGTTGTGGCCAGACTCCAGCTAATAGGTCGGCCAAGTCATGCAAACTTGGTTTACACGCGTACACTTTTGATATCGGACATTCATGTTAAGGTCAATTGACACATGTCAAAAAAGGTATTCGCTGACCAGTATCATGTAACCACAATATGGGCTCAGATTTTCAGTGTTTACTTGAAGTTGCAGCTCACTAGGTACTGATTTTTGATTGTATCGCAGGCTCAAGGCAGGTTATTTATTTTTTTATCATTATTAGTACTATTATTATTATCATCATCATCATCATCATTATTATTAATTGTAGAATTATGTAAAAAGTACTTTTAAGTACCTACTAAATAGTAAGAATATATTTCAATAAACCTTAGTTGTAAACAGGTATAATTTTGCTGAAGAAGCCGGGTTTTGTAGCGTGCACGTGTGAGAGGATATGAGCAGAGATTCAGCTGTACGAACGTGTAGGAAAACACCCGACTAGAGGAAAACATGATCATAAGAGTAAAAAGAAATACCATGGATGTTACATTCAAAAACTGTTGCCTAGGGAAGAATTGTCACCATGACGTAGCATGGAAAGTAACTAAACCAATCAGTCCTGTGTACCTTTGTGCCCAGGCCATGTTCACTAGCACCATTTGCTCCTTTATAGAGCCGAGAAACATTTCATCTTGTCTGACAACATGTTGACCTCCACGTTGAGGTTTTGAGCCATGACAAACCATTTTACGCCATTTATGCTGCAGATCATGGCCAAGGAAAAATATTGTAATTGCAAGAGGAAAACAAAGAGACTAAGATTAGATTTTTTT